AGTACCTTTAACCATTCCTCTTCAGAGATCTCATCCTCTAAGCTGTTATATATTTTGCTATCTACTGTTTCTAGTGGATTATATACTTTTTTCTACCTAGATAGCATGTTTGAAGCATAGGTGTTTCTTTTGTGGAACTACTTTTTAAAGTAATTTTTCACTTCTTCTAGTACTTCTTCTTTCTGATTCACTAGTACTATTTCTGAATTATCTTCTTTGACGATTCTGTCTATGACTACCTGTTTTGAAGATCTTTCAAGCAAGCTACTTATCATATGTTTGAGTTCTCCTTGTATTGCTTCACAGTGATGTTCAACTACTATATTAATTTCTTCGAAATCTTCTTTCTTTCTTGCTTGCTAAGCTTTTAAATATATAATCTTCTATCATATCTTTAGCTCTTCCTGTCTTTTTTTTTGGTCCACGTAGTTTCAGAAAGCTCTTCTATTTCTGTTTCACACAGACTATTTATTCTTGCTATTTTTACATTTATTAAGTACTTGTCTGTGCTATCGATATTTTGACCTATTTTTGAAGAGTATTATTAACACATGTCTCCAATTATTTTCAGGTCTTTTTTAATATTTCTGCTCTCTCTCTTTTTCCCTGTAACAGATTTTTTTACTATAGATTTCTTTCTTGAGAGAGTTGATCTTGCACATTTGATTATACTTATTGCGATTATATTCCACAAGATATCTTTGTTTAGTAATTCTATTTGTTTAAGATATAATAATATATTTTTGAAAAATTATATAAGTAGAATAGTAGGCTATAGTTTTTCTAATAAAATATATTTGATTAGTTAAGTAGATAGTTTAATTTGTTTTGAGAGAAGTAGTAGAAATTGTAATTAGATCAAGTATATTTATAAAAGGATTTAGAGAAAGATTAAATTAATAGTGATTTGTAAGAGTATTATTAATATCTTTATACTATAAGGGTATGCAGCCTTTAGATATTTTATTAGTATAAAAATAGATATTGTTCTAAGGAAGTAATTTGAGTTGTTTGCTATATAAAGTTATTCTATAAAAAGGATCTTGTTGTTTTTGAGGCTAAGAGTTGTTATTGTTTTTAAAAAATAAAGAAGAAAGTTGTATATTAAGTTTAGTTAGCTATAGTTTGTAGTTGTATTTATAGAGTTTAGGTTAAGGTTATTAATTTCTATGTTATTATTTGAAATTGAGAATAATTGAGTAATTAATATAAAGTTTTGAGTTTTCTTTTGATATATTGAGAAGATATTTTTTGAGAAGCAAGGATTTTATATTGAAGAGAGCTATTTATTTATTTGGAGAGTTGATATTTTTTTAAGAAGTTTATTTGAGTTAAAGAAATATTTTAGATTGCTACTACTTATGTTTAAGAAAATTTTCTCAAGAGTATAAAAGTAGAAAGTTTTGAGATTACTAGGCAAAAGCTAACTAAAACTAGCTATATACTAAAAAAGAACTAGATTAACTAATTAATAAAAAATAATATAGTATCTGAGATTATATAAATATCATAAGGATCTAAGTTAGATAAATTTGTAAAATGAGTACAAAACTATTCTAGTAAAAATCATTTCTGAGATTAACTAAAGCTTTGCATATTTATAATATATTAGACAATATATATCTTAAGAAATCTAAATTATATAAAAAAAGATCTATAAGCAAGTTAGCTAATTTAAGTAGTTAGATATAGTAGTAAAATTAATTTAATATAAAGAATAAGTTAATGATTAAAGTGTTTAAATAGATAACTCATAAGCAAGTTACAAATATAATAGCATAGTATAGAACTAAACAGATAGTTTAATATTTGTGTAATAAACTACTTAAATAGATAATAACTAAAGTTATATATATAGCTTGTTGTATACTCATCATATAATTATAAACCTTAGACTGAGTGCATAACAGCTTTCTGCAGATTTTAAAAATTTAATACTACTTTTGTATTTTATTCTTTTAAGAAGAAAAATTGTTATTGCAACAAATTGCATCTAAATATATTAAGCAGCTAAGTGAGTTTGGAATTATATGAAGATAGTATTTTTATAACTAGATTAGTTTAGTTTATATTTCTGTTATAACATTTTATATATTTTCTCTTAATAAATGAAGAGTAAGATTATCTAAGTAAAAAAAAAAAAAAATATATATAAACTTTAGATGATTACTATATATAACTCTATAATAAAAAATTAATAAAATCCAATTAGCCAAGAAAGCAGTCTTAATAATAAAAAAAATTATATTATTATAAATTTGCTAATATAAATTATATAATCTAAATATTTAAATAAGTAACTTTAGATAAATTATAAATATAATAACTTAGTATAAAACTAATCAAATAGATAACTATTAATGATAATATTTATATAATAAACTACCTAAATTAAACAATAAATAAAGTTATACATATAACTAGTTACATACTTGTTAAATAATTACAAATAGAGAAGTTTCTCTTAACAGTTAAATAACTATATAGTTCAAATTCATAAAAACTATATAGCCAAAACAGCTATCTTAACAATAAAAAATTTTTTTAGATTATTAATTAATAACATACAATTTATTAATATTTTTTTATTAAAGATCAATTTGTAATATTGCTTTGCTTTAATAATAATCAACATTTATTATAAAACGTACCTGTGATAGTTTTGTACCTATTATATGTTGTTATTATATTTTTTAGATTTTATAAGTTTTTATAAGTTTTGTATACAAAATATTTAAGCAAAATTTTTTTTACTTTGGGGTTAGAACTTAAGGTTAGATTTAGGGTTAGAGAAGGGTTTTTAGAGGCATAGAACATTTTTACTTAAGCCACCTCTTACCGATTAATTTGCTAGTTTTTGAGATATTGAATATATAGATGTAAAACACCATAGGTGCGTTTAGTAAGTGATAATCAATAGCTAAAATTATATATTTAGCCAGTTGTACGTTTATATATTAGAGTAAGTAAACCCCATATAACACTTAATAATAATAAAATCCACCAAATAAGTAATCATATAACACAATAAGTGAAAAGTTGCTTTTGTCGGATAAATCCGTTAAACACACAAGCCATGAAAATATAGTATTTAAAATTAATTCAAATATAGAAAGCTATTAGGTACGAACGTACAGTACGTATAAAATACCTAACAAACAAACTATAATGATTTAAATATATAATTATGGCTAATTCTAAATTTAATGTTCTAAACGTAGCAACCAATTTTACCAATTAAAGTAAAGTATACAATATTTTAAAGAAAGAAAATTATTTAGGTGTTAAAGCTTTAACAATCATTAGTTTTATACCGTTCAACGAAAATTCGCGTTGTTCGATTGCGGATTCATAGGAAGTTTTGCCAGCGAATTCTATAAACGCACATTTCTAAAATAAATATGTAAATAGGATTGTCTAGTGATAAAAGTAAATTGAAATAATATTTCTCAAGTCCTTCATTATTTAATTGCTGACTTACCCGCTCATAAATCATCTCAACCCATAAAACTTTACCGAACGTTTCTTCGACACACTGTCGTAATTTTAATTCATCAATATCTTTAGTTATACCACCAACATAGGTTCTGTGCAATCCGATGTCATTAAGAGAATCAGGTATATATGGAATACGTCCGTCTTAATATTTTTGAATGTATTAAAACTGTGGTTAAAAATTGTAATTTATTTCAAACAAAGAAACATTAACTTACTCCTGACTTCAAATCTTCGTTGGCTTTCGTAACCATTCAAATTCAAATCTGCAATAAAATCAGAAATGAACAATAAACTAACGTAATTAAGGAAAGAAAAAAAAATTCATTGACATACACTTAGGTTCAAATCTCCATTGACTAACTTGCCCGTACATATCTAGATGAATAATTAATCGAACCGGCAAAAAAAAAAAAAAAAAGAAGCAATTTAGTGCTTGGAAAGGAAATCGTACCTTGGCTACAAACACTCTCTTTAATAGATTTCACAAGAGCAATTTCATCTCTAATAGCACTTTCGATAATAGAAGTAAATTCTTTGTCTTCTTTAATATAATTTTTCTCTTTTGACAAGTCACTAATCAATTGCCTTTGTGCGATAATAAGATCGTCTTTTATCATGGAGATTTTTTGATGTTTGATAATAAACGAATCTTTTATACTGAGTTGAGATGATAAAGAGATACAGGTGGGACAGTAATTAATCTTATCGTGGTTATAGTTATAAAAGAGTTGTTGCGATGAAGACGTTTGCGTGATATCCATTTATTTAATTTATCTGTTATTGATATTTAGTAGAAGACACTAATAAAAAATATAGCAGAACAAAAAGAAAATATTGAACAAATAAATTTTTTTTAAATGTTTTGATGAAAACAGTTGTTAATTTCGTATGTCACTATATTTGGCTGCA